GTTCTCCCAAGTGAGGATTCAGTTCGCCATGTCCATGCTAGAATCTCGACAGTGGTCTGGATGTGGCCATCGCTGAACAGCCACTCATGAGCGTCTTGCTGCAAGCTGAGATGCCGTCGATGATGTCGGCCCCGATGGCTACGTGTTCTCCAGCTGCCTTCCTTCCACCTCGGAGTGCTTAGCTGCAAAGGCAGGGGCTCCCAGAACCCCCCGCATCCGGTCGTCGTCCTCGAGTATGCGTCGGTCGTTTCGCAAAAAAAAGAAGGTCGAAACCTGACCCCCGACTCTTTCCAATGTGCCGACGGGTCGTTCATGCGACACTGCACAGCACCGTCGTCATCACCATTACCAGGCCTGGAGGCGACCGTGGTGTCATCGTCACACGAGGAAAAGTGACAATTCCCGTCGTAATGGCATTCGGGGCCATCCCGCCAGCCGCTTCCACACCCACCAACCAGAGGTGCGAGACCGAAGATCACAGTCTTCTCGTATACAATCTGGGGGTCCATCCCGCAGGTTGTGGTCTTCATCCCATTCATCGCCGCAATCGTCATCTGATCGACTGCTTGGTGCGAGATTGGACACAGCTGGCATGCCGCGAGGCCCCTGCTGATGCTCTCGGGAGCGTCCTCGGCAGTGCCTTGTACCTACCGCAGCTTCTTCATCCTCCTCATCCGCCTCATCTCCTTCCCCCCTGCGCACCGCCTCTGGGTGGCCTCCTGGGGGTGCTGGGCCAGGGCCGCCTGCTCCTCGTCGTCCGTCTTGGGGGGTGCCTTCTTCGCTCGAGTACTGGACCTGGTGCAACTGCTCTTTCTCCATGAAGCGCTGTGCCGTCATATTGCTCCTGTCGCGTGCACCTCGTTCCAACCCGTGTCGTAGGCGTTGCTAACGGCCTCGCTCACAGGGCCCGAAGCAGGCCACCGTCGCCGTGCTGTGGATGAGAGCGGGGCTCCTGCGTCCCCGCGATCTTCGCCTGCAGTTCGCACGCCTGGATCTGCCCCCGTCGCTGCCATTGGCCAACCGCTTTCTCGACCCTGGTGTCGGGCTGGTCGTTCGAGGCGCTCTCAATGCAGTCCTTCTTGGTGTCGCTGGCGAATGTGCTGGGGCTGGTTCCGCAGACGTCGAAGTCGGAGATGCTTGCGGTACTGATGGCGCTCCAATTGGGATACCGCCCAAGCGTTGCGCCTTCCTTGTCAATTTTGGAGCAGACGGCCAGTGTGACTCTCAAGAGCTGGCCTTCTGGCACACGCTTCTCGTGGGCTGCCAGGGGATGTCGCATGAATAAGCTTGCTGCTTCTCCTGGATCGAGGTCGGGCCATGGCAGAGGTACGTAAGCCGGCGATCTCCTCGAAGGTGTTGAGGGTTCGCCAGGCTGATGTTCCCGCTGCGCAAGAAGAGGACGAATATGGTATCGAGGAGGCCGCGGAGGACTCCCGAGGCCTCTGGTGGTCCACTGGGAGTCCACATGAGTGGCAGGTTTGGCTGGGGCTTCTGGTGGCCCAGACTGGGCCCCACCGAAACAAATATCCAAAAGCTTCAGTCCGAACGGAGCGGAAGACAGCGATGGTTCCGCGAGGGAGCTGCCAGGACCGTGATCTGTGCGTCGCGTTCGATGTTCTCGCATTGGTCATTTTCGCCGGGTTTCGGCGCTCGGGGCCCTCGCGGATCGATCAATGTTGAGAGATGCCGCATCAAGATGGTCTCTTGTCTTGGGCTCCAGGTGTGCGTGTGCTGCTAGTTTTTGTTTTCCTGCGACGCTGGATAGCAGGGGAGGGCTTGCTTGTTGACGTAGTCTCTCCCCTACCCACCAGTCTAGAGAGCGGCATTGCCCTGCTGTTCAGTGCCACTCTCGCATTGTGACATACGGAACTCAATAGCAATGAAGACTTCGTCTAGATATTCGCCGTTTCTGCATTGGTAGGGTCCTTTGTTACGTTGCAATGCCTGTCGAAGGGGAAAGTCCAATCTTCGAATTGCGTGCATGATGTTGCTCTTATATGCAACCTGATGTGTGTTCGGCCGAGCCAGTAGTGCACGAAGACTCGGCCTGGTGCACTGGGCAATGAAGATGTGGATGTAGCGATGCCGCAGCTCGTGTTCTCTGCTTTTCAAGTACAGGGCGTAATGCGTGTTCCTCCAGTTGCGCTGTCTTGATCCGCCTCTGCCACCCTGTGTGCTCCGTACCGTGCCGGCGTATCCTAAGGCGACTTAGACCCTCGACCTAGGAATGGTACGGTGCATGGCTTTGCTTGCTCCTCATATTCTGAAAGCAGCTCACCGTACCGCGCTGTACTGCGCTGGGCTGGGGCCACAGGAGCCCAATCATGGCACGGTGCATGGGCGCCGTTCACGGACGTATGCCGTCTGCTTCATTTCGAAAGTCTTGGCAAACGCTAGATCACCAAGCACGGTAGACTGAATTGTAGCTGTTGCTTCCTGCAGCCGGCGCTGCCACGCCACATTCTGTGGAAGCGGCATGCGCATGGATGGTGATTCTTGGAGTCCTCATCCAACAGGGCACTTCCCCCCTGAAGGGCAGATTGGAAATCAACCAGGGGGAGTGGGAGGGGGGCAAGAGGGAGGCGTGCTGACTGCAACCTGGGCGCAGGCGCCACCCTTCCTCCTTGCCCTCACTCTTCCGATGGCCTTTCTCAGCGGCAGGTGTCTAAAGCAGGCACTGTTCGCGTGCTGCTTCCATCTGCTCTGAGGGAGGCCGACCTATGGTCGGTAACTTCTGGATACCGTGTCGCTCCGCCAGTTCTGGCCCGCCACGCTTGGGCGCGACACGCTACCCACATCCCAGCCCCCAAGCGTCAACATCCCAAACCTTTCCCAGCCTTCCGCCCCGCGGAGCGGAGCGACATGCTATATTCTCTTGCAGGGCAAAACGTGTCGCCAGGGCCGCCGCAGTGACACGTTATTCAAACGTTCCTTACCGTAGTTGTAGTCCAGGCGATGGGCGAGCTCCACTCAAGATCCATTTCGATTCGATTGATCCGATTACATACTGATCCTGGCCGGCCCGATCCGATTCGATTCCGATGTTCTTTTGATCATCTTCGGCCCGACGCTTGCGTGGCGCTGTTGTGCGTCCTGGCGCGGCCGATCCGATTCGATGCCGACTCGTTGCCGATGCGACCCAGTCCGATTTATATACATTCCGATTCGATCCGATGTCCCGATCCGGTGCTCGTAGATCGTGCCCCTTCCGTTCCTTGAGCCGACCGACAGCAGAGCAGCAGCATCCCGCGGCGTCGACAGAGGGGAGGAGGGAGCGGAGGGGAGGCCAAGGGGGCTCCAGCCCGTCTCCCCGTGCTCCCCCTGTGACCGCTACGCCGTCCCTCGGCGACGCGCCGAGGGGCAGGCCTTCTCAGCCTGGCTGCCCCGCTGCGCCCGTGTGGGAAGGCAACACGTACCGTGTTCAAAAAAAGCCTGTAATAGCACGTTGCGTGTTGGGTCTGCCCGTGTTGGCCCACATTCTTGCGAACGCACCGCTTCAGACCTGCACAATCTTCATTTCTCATTCTTCGGAAGTTATTTGGCTTCTTGGTGGGCCAAGATCCTTTTATTTCTAGTTGTTCTATCCTGGGCCTCTTCCTGGCCACGAGGGGGCCAGGAACAGTTAGAAACGAGCACAATTAGAAATGCGCACGACTTGAAATGATCGACGTGTACGCTTTCGGTCCGCGTGTTGAGCTCCGTGTCAGCACGCTGCGCGTTGAGTATTGCGTATCGGGACAGCTGCGCTTCCCAGATGTCGGCGGGGCTTCCCAGAAACCCTCCGGATTTCTGAGAAGCCCTCTGCGTCTTCGGAGAAGGCTCGGGAAGCTCCTCACAGTCCAGGGACGGAGAACCACCCCGACCCCCATTCATGTACAGGCGTTTACGAAATGGCCTTGCACGTTTACGAACCAGCCCTGCCCTCGCGGGCGTTTACTCAACGGCTTGCCTTGTCGGGGTGCTTATAATCAGGTGGTTGCTCTTCTCCCTACAGAAGGCTGGAGGCCTTCTGAGCCTTCTGAGAAGGCCCGACCTCTCCAGGACCGACTTCGACTCCTCCGATTCGATTCGATTTCGATGGCTTCCGATTCCGATTCGCTTCGACTTCGCATTCCGATTTGGGCTCCGATCTCGCAGCGGAGGCCTACAAGCCTGCGGATCCCCGCCGACTCGTCGTCTCCAGACCTAGCTGCCGATGTCCGCCGATCCGATTCCTTTCGATCCCCGACCTGACTTCTCGCTTCGATTCTGGGCCCTCCTTCGCCCTCCCTCTCCTCCCCCCCCCTCCTCCTCCTCCTCCTCCTCCTCCTCCTCCTCCTCCTCCTTCTCCTCCTCGTCCTCCTCCCCTCCTCCTCGTCCCCCTCCTCGTCCTCTTCCTCCTCCTCCTCCTCTTCCTCTTTCTCCTCCTCCTGCTGCTGCTGCTGCTGCTGATGATGATGATGATGATGATGATGATGATGATGATGATCCCCCTCCCCCTCCTCCCTCCTCCTCCTCCTCCTCCTCCTCCTCCTCCTCCTCCTCCCTCCTCCTCCTCCTCCTCCTCCTCCTCCTCTCCTCCTCCTCCTCTTCCTCTTTCTCCTCCTCCTCCTGCTGCTGATGATGATGATGCTGATGATGATGAAGACGATGATGAAGTGACGATGATGATGATGCTGCTGATGATGATGATGATGATGATGATGATGATGATGATGCTGATGATGATGATGATGATGATGATGATGATGATGTGCTGATGCTGATGATGATGATGATGATGCTGATGATGATGATGATGATGATGATGATCCCCCTCCCCCTCCTCCTCCTCCTCCTCCTCCTCCTCCTCCTCCTCCTCCTCCTCCTCCTCCTCCTCCTCCTCCTCCCATGGACCTCGAGGAGCCCTCTGCCTGCCCCCCCTCCGGGCGCGCCGCCGCTGCTCGGGAGCTCACCGCTCCCCCCTTGGCTGCTCCGCCCGGCTCCCCGCCCCCCCCGCTCTCTTGCACCCCCCCGGCGAGGCCGCGGCGCGGCCGCCAGCGGCTCCCGCGAGGCCTCGCCGAGGGGGCGGAGCACGCGGGAGACGGAGGACAGCGATCCCCGTATTGTCGACGAGGCCGCGACGAGGAGAAGGGGGAGGAGGAGGGGGAGGAGGAGGAGGAGGAGGAGGAGGAGGAGGAGGAGGAGGATGAGGAGGAGGCGGAGGAGGATTGAGGTGGGAGGAGGAGGAAGGAGAGGAGGAGCGGGAGGAGTAGGAATAGGAATAGGAATAACCCTGGGGCGCCGCACCGTCCATCCAGCCTGCCAGGAGGGCGCCTAGGTTCTACTACTGTAGGCCGAGAGTGCCGCCTGCGCGCGGGCCAGCGCCACAGTGGGGCTGGCTCGGGCCCAGTGGCGCACCCAATGGCGCGCAGCCAAGCGGCTGCCACCATCAGCACCGTCCTCAGGGAAGCTCTTGCCTGAGCGACGCACACACGGAAGGGGGGAGAGGCAGAGCACCAGGCGCCTTGCCCCACCCCCCCGAGGGACAAGGAGGGAGCACCACCAGAAGCACCCTCAAGGCAGAGGAGCCCGCGGCCAACCCCTACCTCGAGAGCGGCCTCGAGCGGCACCCTTTCCACGCCCCTTAGCCCCCCTGCCGCGGTAGACAGGGGGTCGAACATCTAGTGCAACAGCTGGCCCCATTTCAGGGGCATTCTGAATCGTGTACGTAAGAGGGGGAGGCTCAGAAGGGGGCTCCAGGCCAGGAGGAGGAGGAATGGGGCGAGGCAGAAGCAAAACAGGAACGGGCGGAGCGGCTAAGCCTTGGACGCGACGGGCCGCCTCCTCAGAGAGATGACCAGCCCGCAGATGTCCGCGCACACGGTCGCTCTGGCTCCAGTCGAAGCCTTTGGAAGAAGAGCCACGACCAACGATCACCTGACCACGTCCAGAAGCCGCTGCGCCTCTCGCACGAGCACCCCGCGGGGCGCCCCTCCTATCGTCTTGGTGCCGCCCTCGGCGCGCAGCGTCGCCCTGATCGCCTTCAGCAGCCCGATCGTTTCTGGAAGCTCGCCCGCCAGCAGGAACTGCACCTTCGCCATATCTTCGCCCTCCGAAGACTTGGTCTTGATCCTCTTGGCTTTGCAAAAGCGGATCGTGTCCGCCAACTCCTCGGGATCCTTGATCTTCATCACGGTCTGCACCCAGAAGGCGTGGGCCGCTTTCCTGTCCTCCGCCAAGGGCGTGTCCCCTTCGGGCTTCGTCGCCGCCCCCTGCACCAGCGCCGTGAAGACACGGAGGTGGGGCGCACACAGCTTATTCTTCGTGTACGTCGGGTCCTGCTTCTCTTTCTCGCGCTCCTCCTGCGCCTCCGAGTTGAAGGCCTGGTTCTCCTCGAGCATCAGCTGCACGGTCGGGGAGTCGACCTTGCACAGCCACGTGTCGTACACCGCGCCGATGAGCGCCCGCAGCTCCGCCTCGTCGCTCAGCACAAGCTTTGCGAGGACGATGACCAGCTCGTCCAAGCTTTGTTTTTTTTCCACCTTTGGCGGATCCGCGGGGAGCGCCGCCTCCCTTCTCTCCTGCCTTCGGCTTCTTGGACGACGGCGCCTCCTCTGATAACTTGGCCATCCAGCCTGGGCGCGCGAGCGACGACATAGCTCACAGGCGCCTCACCAGCGGCAATATAGCAGTGTCGGTGTCGATCATAAATAGATAACTCTCGAGGAAAATGAATACGGACGTGAAGCTGATAACTCTTAAGGTCAGATCCATGAAACTCACAAAGCAAACATTGTAAATCATTAGGCTCATGCAGGGGCTCTTGAGTGCGCCCCCCACCCGAATAACAGCAGCCTCTAGTCATGGAACCAGCCAAATGACGACTCCCCGTGACGGTGCTAGAGAAGACCTCAAGGCAGTTGGGGCACTGGTTGGTTTTGCAGAGGACATGCCCGAGAGACCGAATCCCATGATGAAGCCTCATATGATTAAGGGCCGCTTTCTTATCGGGTAAACCTTCACCGCAAACTTGCAAACTTGTTTAGCTCCCTCTGTCCCAATACGTACCCCACAGACCCACTTCACCCCGTCCTCCTTGAAGCTAACCTCCTCCTCCAACGCCGAGACAGGATCCTTCGGGATATGCCCTGGTGGGGGAATACATACAGTGTGACGTCGTCGTTTAAGAAGAGAGAAATCGATTTTTCCCAGTGACTTGCCGAGCTCCACATCCCACCAAGGCGCGAGGAACGAGCCTTGCAAGCGGGCGAGCAACTCCTCGCCATCTTCCAGCACGTGCAGACTTTCCAAGTCGGCAAAGAAAAGTCTTGCCCACGGGTTAGCGTAGGCCGTGAGACGCCCCATGTAGTCATACTGGGGACCTGGGTCAGAAGGGAGCTCCGCAAACAGTGCCGTGATGATCTGCACGTGGCGATGCGGGAAGCGCACAATCTGCGCCAACCAGTTCAAACGCCTAACCCGCAGCTCAAGAAAAGTGGGGTTGAGCCTCCAGTAGTCCAAAACCTTCTCGTTGGGTAAAATATGTATATGTGATTCTCCTTCCCAGGAGGCTCCTCCCCTCATCGCAACTCTACAGTATTTAACAAAGGCAGTATCGATACGCTTACACTGGCCCTCGGTTACCAGGAACGCCTCAAGATTTTGAAGCCCAGCGTTTTGCACCCCCATCAAGACAGATATGCGAAGACGGAAAGCGACGTCCTTGGTCGACCAGAACTTGCCCAGGGAATGAAAAGAGGCCTGCAAAGCCGAAGTACGTTTGGTCACTTCCACCGAGATCACCCCCGTAGCATGTATCTGTCCTCCCAGCACCCTCATGTAGGAAGAAACCCCTCCATCAAAAAAAATCTCGCTGTTCCTACGTAGCACACGATTAGCAGCAGCAGAGCCTCGGCCTACCAGTGATACGATGGTATTCTGCTTGGCCCGATTCTGAGCCCACCCACCGGCGGCCAAGGCGGTGTCCAGCAATTGATTGGAGTGCCGATTTGCAGCACTCAAAACTTCGAGGGCCGCGTCCTCCCTCAAAGATGCCGCGCCTCCTCCGATATGCAGCTTGGTAAGGTCATCAGCGTATTTCGTCAAGCTGAGATCGACCTCACCCAAACCTGAAATGGGACAATCGACTCGGAGAAATTCTTCAAACTCAAGAGTCCCTCGAAGTTGCTCACTCCACTCTTCTACTGGATGTGAATATGCCCTGCTAAAGCTTTCGACAGCGCACGGGCCCCCCATGAGAGCACCACAACGAGGCCTGACGATAAGTTTACGATCTCGAGTCGGAAGTTCGATAGCCGATCCAAACCATACTCCCAATCCTCTGGGTCCAAAAGCTCCGAGTTGACCCTTTCCAAAAGCTTCCAAGACGCCGACGGGAATGCATTGCTGAGGTCCTTGTTGGACCAAGTAGTACTGTAACCTCCTAGCCGAAGACGGTGAGACATAATCTGCATAACCAACATGGCACCTTCATTCCTCCTCCCCCTCGCGAATCCGTAGTCACATGGTCCCAGAGCCTGCGGTTTGTGCCTTCTCATAGCTCCAGAAAGCCACGCCTTTCCCAAGGGATCCAGCAAATGAATGGCACGTTTGCCACGGGGGCCAGCAACACTGCTCTTAGGTAAAGCACAGCCAAAACTACGGTTCCACGAGCGGGGAAAGCGGCCTGCAAACCTAATACACATGAGTCCACGCTCAAGTGCTTCCTGCAGCAGAGTCGCATCCAGGGAGAAGTCGGCGCCAAGGCCATGCCTGCACTGCCTGAGTCCAAACTGCGGGTTCGTGATCATGCCCCAGATCTCTACAGGAACAGACCAAGGGGGGCAAGCACGTCGTTTAGGCGCATGTTTGAGATAACCTGCAATAGAACCAAGATCAATCTTAGCTTCCACTGAAAAAGCACAGTAGTAGCCCTCCTTCCTCTCCTCCAGCTGGCACTCGTTCTCCACCACCTCCCCCACCTCCATCCCACCCTGGGGTCCAGGAAGTTTCCAGACGGACAACCATTCTTCTGCCGAAAGTGCAGCTCCTTGCAAGTGTCTGAGATTCCTGCCCCGAGGGGCCTTACTGCGGCAGGCGAGCAACCTAATAAGTCGGTGCGCCTCCTTCAAATTTCTGACCCTCCAGGCCTCGTCTAACTCCTCGGTGACCTCCTGCCTCCACCTCCTGTACTGCCTCCTCCTCACCATGGCACATTATTTGCTGCACTGCTTGAGCTCCTCCTTCACTTCCTCCTCCTCCAGACCGTTGGCTGCCTGCGAAAGTCGTGGCCTGAGTTGCAGGCGACGAGCGAGCAGTGCACGGCGTTCAGCAGCTTGCTGGCGATACAATTCCGAGCAGCTGGCTAATGATCCACTAAAAATGCTTGCTGCGGTCTCCTGCAGCGCAGCATTGAACTTCTCAAAATATCTGTCAGGCTGGCCGTGCTTGAGGGCATTTCCAAGATCCTCGGACAGCTCCTGAACCTTCTGGGAAGCCTTTTCCAAGAACGACTTTCGACCCTCCGAGAACTTCATCGCCTCAAAATTCCAGAAAACGCGTGCAACACGATCCTCCTGAGGGGGCTGGAAATCCCATTTTAGATTGCAGTGCAGTGGGGCATGGTCCCTGGGGTACTTGCTGGGGATCAGCTGGTGCTTTCTCATCAGCTTCATCAGGGGGCCTCCAGAGATCTCGAGGGACGCAGCAGCAGCAGGCCCGAAGATGTAGTCCACACGACTGGACTGAGACTGGTTGGAGGAGGAGGCGAAGGAGGAGGAGGAGGAGAGCTCTTCAGCAATACTTGGGATGCTTTCTTTCAGCAAAGAAGATGACCATCACCGCCAACTCCAAGGAACTTGCGAAACAAGCTAAAGCTGTTGTTGGACCCTTGGGAGGCTCTCTGGAGGACGCCCCACCAAATCTTGGGATTGATTATATTGCGGGGAAGCCGACGTCCCAGGTCCGTCGTCTGAGCAAGAGGGCTGCTAGGTGGCGTAAGTTTAGATATATAATGAATAGGCTTAACAAGTTCCGGGGCTCCCGTAGGCTCAAGACTAGGCTCTACAAAGCGAGTGTACAGTCGGTCATCACCTACGGGGCCCAAGC